TGCATACCATTTACGATAGTTCGAGGGGATATTTGTCTTTTTTCCCTTTAATGAAAAGAGACAATCTTTTCAAAACAGACTAAAAAAAAAGTTAAAGAGCCACAGATTAAAACGAATGAAGTATGTATTACCTGAAGGTGTTGGAAGGTACAATAGCTAGTGATTTGGGTGCTACGTTACATCCCTGGAAGAAATCCTGAGCAGTCGATGGGAGTGGAACTTGTCTTTTGGTAATACTAGCAACAACAACACGAGCCAAAACTGGTGAATGGACTCCCTTCTGGCTTAAATTTAGTGTAAAATCTACTTCCCATTAGGAAAATGAGTAAAGCAACAATATTGGACGCAGCACAAATGAAAAATCCAGCTTTCCAACTCACGTTATCTTCAACATAGACAATAGCTGTGGACGATACTACAGAAGCAGAATACCAAAAGAAGAAGAACCAATTGAAGAAAAATCCCTTGATCCCTTGGTTATCAGCTAGCTGATCGGCTCCGATCGTCGAAAGGGTTGATCGGGTACCTCCACTACCCAGAGTAGTCAGAGCTATTGCTGCATAGAGAACTACATATTGACCTTTCGGTTTAGGGGTACATGAGGTTGAACCAACTTCACATGGTTTAGGCCTTAAAGAATCAACTGTAGCTGTTAAAGCTAAAAGGATAGTGCCCTACAACGTATTCACAAAAAAAAAATATTAAGCTTAATCAAACACCCTAAAGAACCAATTTCAAAAGGTCAAACAAATTAAGTTAGGTACACACAAAATAGTGGAGTAGTAATTACCAATAATGAGATGATGGATGAGATCCAAATGGTAGAGAAGCAACCAAGAAAAGAGTCGGCAATAATTGCAGCAACAACAGGAATTAAGCTTCCAGCACCATTAACCAAATTTGATATTTGAGCAGCATCAATACTCTCCACATCAAATTCCTTAATCAGATACACAATAAGATTGTTTGTCCAACCTCCAAATGCTAAGGTCAACCCCACTGAGCTCGCTGTTTTTGTCAAAATCCAGTTACGCGTCAATATTTATACGTAACTTGTTATAACATGTTAAATTACCTGTAACAAATATTTAGGCTATGTGCAACAAAGAAAGTAACATGGATAACATTGTAGCACTTGAGATTTTGGGTCTTTTCATGCTGTTAAAGAATGCTTGATCAAAAATCATGTAGGAACAAGATAGAGACCTATAATAAAGGGGAAGGTGATCCAGCCTCCAGTTCTTCTTGGTAATTGTGCCTCTGATGGAGCTTCCATGGTTCAAAAACTCGATGGATAAATAATTACTTCAAACTTTTGGGAGAGAACTTATATATATAATATCAGCTCAAAAATATCTCAATTAGGATAAGGACAGCACATTGTCTTGCTCATGAGAATTTAACAAAATGGGAGGAAATTACATATTGCATTAAAAAAAATTCAAAGATTTAATTAAAGGCCCTCAACTTTATAGTATTAAATTGTTAATTTGACTAATGACTACAATTTAGTATTGTTCATTTAATTTGATGTGTCTTCTGGTTTACATGACAATTGTCAGCTTCTTCCCTTTAATTAATATTCGTAATCACAATTAAATATCGATTAAATGACTCGATTTGCAGATACTAAATTGTAATCATAATTAATTAGACTCTTACTTTCAAAATAGATATTATTCCAATATCACGTAGCTCGAAGGAAAATAATATCTTTTGCTGGAGTATTCTAAACTACTGTTGAACACACAAATTACATTTGATTAATTAAAAATTACTACTCTATGTCTTTTCCTACTTGACCATTTCAGAAGTAAATATTGGTATCATAGACTCTTAATTAATATCTAATGTAATCAAAGTCAATTAAGACTACTAATCCTAATAATTTAGATGATGACTGATTTTTGGAGAAATTTTTCTCATTGACTTTTACGTCGTCGTAGCAAACATGTACATGGAAGATATATAAACGACATGGATTGCATGTCAAAGCACTCGTAACTTTAATTATTCTTATTTATGCTATTATAAGTTGCAATCCAATATTTATATTCACATCATAATTATTAACATTTTTATTGTAAATATAAATGTAAAAAACAAAATTTTGTAAGACAAAATATTTGGATTAAAGTTTTTCCTTCTGGTTTAAAAAATCATTTTTATAAAGAAGGGTTGGGAAGTTGACCAGTTACATGGTAACTATTCCCTCTTCTTTTTCAAATAAGAGATAATTAGTTCATCTCTTTTCAGATAACTTCTTGGATCGAGTTAGATCGATCCATGACCCAAAACTATGTAGTTATGTAAGCAAATGCAAGGAAAAAATTGATATACAAAAATAAGATTTAAAAATTACACCAACATATAATTATAATTTTATTATATATCAGAGTATGTTTAAAATATGTAATGCAAGACCTCACACCTTCATTCTTGTTTAAATGTTATTCATGAAAATTTATCCACGCACTTGGCGATCATAACATGAATCATCATATGATAGACAATGTATAAGGAGAAAATCCTTATGAAAACGTAAAACACATGAATATATTGTCTGAAGTTCAGATATTTGTATTGAAGTGTGAATATGGAAATTAAAGCAAGCAAGTCCAGCAATTCAAAAACTTAAGACGTTTTTGTTTGAAATTCGGCTAAAGAGTTTCAAAACTTCATATATCTTTGTCTGAAGTTGACATTACAACATGTTATTTGCAAATGTTTTTTCAGTAATTGCAGATTGATGATAAATTAATTAATTAATTAATTATTGCTCACTCACAAGTATGAGGATATTAAAATTGATCTCATCCTCAAATCACTCATCAGAAGGAGTCTCATTATGATCCACTTCATTGAGGTTTTGATACTTGTAATACCAAGCACATGTTACATAGTAACCAAAGTTCACTACTCCCCCTACAACCAATATCCAGTACACATTATCCAGCCTTCCATCATTTATGCTACCTGGTAACCATTTACTTGTCTTTCTAACAACATCAATTAGAGCAGTAGCCAAGTAAAATGCTATACCAACAAGCATGGAAATCATCGCGGTCGCCATGTTCTTTAAGGTCATTGGGAACTCTTGGTAGTACAAAGATACTTGTCCAGGATAATGAAATGCCTCCGCGATACCATTAAGTGCTAATTGTGGCACCAGCCATAAAACTGACATTGCCACAATATTGGAACCTTCATTTGATTTTGCTACATTTAGTCTCTTTGACTCGACTAAGGCTGATACACCCATGCTCAAAAAATTGAGCACGTGTCCAATCCCAATTCTCTGGAGAGGTGTTAGTGATTTGCCTCTCAAATTCTTCCACATAGGTAAAAGAAATTTATCAAACAGGGCGAGGAATAGAGCAGTAGATATGAGAACAAAAACTTGTATGGATCCAGCTGGGATTTGGAAATTGGGTCCTACGTGGCGGTCCATAGCTAAGGCTTGAAGGACTGAAAAACTTAATTGTACGCCAATTGTGGTGCCAAGAAAAAAACTAGTTGACCAAAGTGGTAAGATTTTAATTAAGGTTTTGAAATCTTCTACTTGTTGTACTGAACAAAGTATCCATCGATTAGTTGTTGAACCATCTGCTTTTACGTCACCTTCACTTATAATAGCAACACGATTCAAAAACCTGCATTATTAATTATTACTACGGAAGTTCAAAATTTTTGTATCATGTGATTATATTATCAACAACAAAATATAGTGGTTTTACTTGTTTGAACCAAAATAAATCAACTTGCCTGTGACTAGGGGTGTTCACGGGTTGGTTTGGATCGGTTATTGGTCAAAATTAAAACCAAACCAACTTAATCGTTTTAAAATTATCAAAACCAATGGTAGGAATTTTTGTGTAGTTAGGTAGTTTTTCCTTGATTATTTTACCCTTATTTATATCTTACTAAAATATAATTTCTTTTCACTAAATATTCATTCTATTTATGTGTCATAATATATTGATGTGTTTATATTAATATTAAGGAATAATTACTACTAAGAGTATATAAAAATAATAAATAATTTTGTCTTAACTTTCTCGATATATTAAAGTGCATCTGAAGATGCATATTTGTTCGAAATAAAGAGGCTTACCATTGTTGCTGGATATATAGTACAGTAGCTAATTTGGCATTTGAAAATCTAATAATTCTTGTTATATATATAACACTCCAGCATAAGATAAGAACAATTTGAGTCCTTTTAATTTGCATGAATTTCTTGTGGAATGAATAATTATGGCAACATTATCATCAAGAAAGCACTACTGGATTGGTATAAAGTCTGTTTATCTAAGTCGTGAATATGACTATGTACTGTTGCACAGTACTGTCACCAAAGCAAGAATCGTAAATAATACTTTCCAATGCTCTAATTTATGTGGCATATTTTTTTATTCCGTCCCAATTATAAGAATGTCATCTTTCCGTTATTGAAAATAATATAGTTTTAACTTCAAAATTCTCATTACTCTTAATGAAATCATTTATAGCCACATAAATAGTTAAGGAGTTAAAATCTTTCTTTTTTCTCAAACTTTTTATCAGTTCAAATGGTGTCACATAATATAAGACTGAGGGAGTAAGGAATACATTCAAGGGTAAATCTCACCTTGAGAAGAATGGATACAGCTATAATACACTTGTCATTCTCAATAATTGCTCCATTGAAATGTTGTATATAGGATATATATATATATATATTCATAAGGTAGAGTGGAGAAGATTGATATGTAACAATAGTCAATAGAAGGTACATACTCACAATTGACTTTCATCTTAACATTGGTAGCCCATGGTCGAATTTACACTAAGGACGATAGACTATATATGCAAATGAAGACTGTTCAATGATCAACCACATCTCCTTATGATTTGATTTCAATATAGAATCTTTTTATGGTCCCATATTGATCACTTGTTTTTTTTTCTTTTCTAAAAAAGTGTGTGCTCTGCCAGAATATGCATGGTCTAATCAATTCCTAACTTGGTAGGGCATTTGTAGGAATGTAATGTGTTGGTCACAGGAAATGGCAGGGAGGGTCTATCTGTTGGCAATTTGAGGTTTTTTTGTAGTGAAAACTGAACGGAAAGAGTATTATTTATATACGCACTCGGTGCGTCTAGCTAGGTACATGTACATGATTTTCAGAATGTACCTTGAATGTATATGGTATCAAATACATGTATCTATGCGATTTGCATGTACTTGGGATACACTGAATCTCTTTCACTCCTCTCTCTCCAATCTCGCTCACATTTCTCCCTATGTAGAGAGTATTTGGTAGCAAAAATATATGTAATTAAGTGTATTTGACTTGAAATATGATATGCAATTATTAATTAGTTAGACTATATATAATTAATATATAATAGTTAGACTATATATAATTATTTTAAACTATGAAGAGAATATAATTAGTAATATGATAGGAATATTTGTGTAGTTAGGTAGTTTTTCCTTGATTATTTTACCCTTTTTTATATCTTACTAAAATATAATTTCCTTTCACTAAATATTCATTCTATTTATGTGTCATAATTGATGTGTTTATATTAATATTAAGGAATAATTACTACTAAAGAGTATATAGAAAGAATAAATAATTTTGTCTTGAACTTTCTCGATGTATTAAAGTGCATCTGAAGATGCATTATTTGTTCGAAATAAAGAGGCTTACCATTGTTGCTGGATATATAGTACAGTAGCTAATTTGGCATTTGAAAATCTAATAATTCTTGTTAGATATATAACATTCCAGCACAAGATAAGAACAATTTGAGTCCTTTTAATTTGCATGAATTTCTTGTGGAATGAATAATGATGGCAACATTATCATCAAGAAAGCACTACTGGACTGGTATAAAGTCTGTTTATCTAAGTCGTGAATATGACTATGTACTGTTGCACAGTACTGTCACCAAAGCAAGAATCGTAAATAATACTTTCCTATGCTATAATTTATGTGGCATATTTTTTAATTCCGTCCCAATTATAAGAATGTCATCTTTCCGTTATTGAAAATAATATAGTTTTAACTTCAAAATTCTCATTACTCTTAATGAAATCATTTATAGCCACATAAATAGTTAAGGAGTGTTTCCAATCACAATTTTATTAAAATGTTTCTTTTTTCTCAAACTTTTTATCAGTTCAAATGGTGTCACATAATATACGGAGGGAGTAAGGAATATATTCAAGGGTAAATCTCACCTTGAGAAGAATGGATACAGCTATAATACACTTGTCATTCTCAATAATTGCTCCAT